TCAGAGACATGAGACGACTGCTTCCTTGTAGAAAACTCTGATAGACAGGCAAACACTGCGGTGGGGGTCCGGAGCGTGGCAACAGTAGTTATTACGAAGGCCGGGTTGTGAGCAGGTCCACCAAAACTGCTGGCATAAAAGTGCGTTGTGAGGGGCGACCGGTAGGGCACAGGCCTCCACATTAAGAGGATTTATAGGTAAGTAAGTAAGATGGGGCTTGGCCAGCACTTTTAATTTGGTCCCCAAAGTCTCTTTCGCGCAGCCCCAGGATGTTTCCACTAGAGCGTTGAGGACCTTGATGCAGCAGTTCACTTTGCCTGCAGCCTGGCTGGCTGGCATGGTCCATGAACGTGAAGAGTGGATCACAACGGACACCAAAGAGCTTGATCTTACGGACGAGCGGTAAAGACATGCGACTGGCGTTGATGGCTGGGTGGCGATTAAACGCCTTCGGTTCCAGCGTGAATACAGTGGCGGAAAACTTGGCTTTCGAGATCGTCAGCCCGCGCTGAGTGAAGAGATGTTAGACTTCAGGCATGAACTCCGAGAGGAGCTGTGCGGCCTAATCAATGTGATGGTGATGGTGTCGGCAAAAAAGGGTAATATCATTTGCGTATGATACCATCTTTGCAGGTATCCGAGGAAGTGGGAGATCTCACATTTATTTGTTAAAAATCGTCGGACTGAGAACTGAGCCTTGAGGAACGCTGCAGGTCTGTTTACGAGGCTAAGCGGCAGCGCCACGTAATATGGACATGATCGTATCGGCCACGGAGAAAAGCCCCAAGTCATCGGACCAGGCCAGTCGGGAGGTTCTGGGAGACCAAATCCTGCAGGAACTGATCATGGCGAATGAAGTCGAACGCGCGTGACAGGTTCCAATAAGCTACCCCAAGTTTCCGGGTCAGCATCCGTTAGCAACAGCAGAAGCGGCTGCATTCGCTTTGGGGTCGCAGGTTTTGTGTGCACAAAAGAACTCCCTTCAAACTCAGCACCTAGCATGACCGCTCCCACCAAACCCTAACTGTTACGTACCCAGTTGTCTCCTATCGACCCTCCCCCCTATCTTCATTATTCCTATGACTCACTTGGATGAAATGACGAGCTTAGTTGACCGCACGTGTTACTATAGAAGTTAAGGCTAAGACGGCTAACTCCAACAGCTACGATTTTCCAGGCTCGGTTCCTTAGGAGATGGGAGAAGTCGTGGGAAGGCAGAGTAGACGGAACAATATATTGTTTGCAGAAGACTTAGGGGGAAAGTTGCCCCTCCGTCCGAAATGGCGTTTGGTCGCGAGAGAGCGCGGCGCCGTCGCGTCCGTTCCTCAGGGGACGGAATCCCAAGTGGCGT